CCTGCGTTATGCAGATGATACAACCTTGCTTGCTGAAAGTGAAAAAGACTTGAAGCACTTACTGATGAAGATCAAAGACCACAGCCTTCAGTATGGGTTACACCTCAACTTAAAACAAAAATCCTCGCAACTGGACCAATAAGCAACATCATGATAAATGGAGAAAAGATTGAAGTTGTCAAGGATTTCATTTTACTTGGATCCACAATCACCACCCACAGAAGCAGCAGTCAAGAAATCAAAAGACACATTGCATTGGGCAAATCTGCTGCAAAAGACCTCTTTAAAGTGTTGAAAAGCAAGAATGTCACCTTTAAGACTAAGGTGAGCCTGACCCAAGCCATGGTGTTTTCAATTGCCTCATATGCATGCGAAAGCTGGATGATGAATAAGCAAGACCATAGAAGAATTGATGCCTTTGAATTGTAGTGTTGGTGAAGAATATTGAATATACCATGGACTGCTAAAAGAACAAACAAATCCGTCTTGGAAGAAGTACAATCAGAATGCTCCTTACAAGCAAGGAAGGGGAGACTACATCTTACATACTTTTAACATGTTATCGGGAGGGATCAGTTCCTGGAGAAGGACATCATGCTTGGTAAAGCAGAAGGTGAGCAAAAAAGAGGAAGACCCTCAATGAGATGGATTGACATAGTGGCTGCAACAATGGGCTCAAGCCTAACAAGGATTGTGAGGATGGCACAGTACCAGGCAGTGTTTTGTTCTGTTGTACATGGGGTTGCTATGAGTTGGAACCGACTTGACGGCACCTAGCAACACAACAGCACCTACTGTACCAAGTGACATCTAAACTAGTATTTGAGCAATCAGCTGGGCACCATAGCCTAGCCAAGTTGACAAATAAAATTAACCATCACAGTACCACAAACTGATTCTTGATAAGCGTACTGCTTAGCTGATGGGAGGAAAAGAAAGTGGGTTTAGTAGAATATAGCCTACTAGCCAGGAGTATTCAGTGTCATTGGACATAAGTCTTATGTTTTAGAAAGGATTGGTTAAGCTGGCAAACTAGTTAAGAGAGTTTAAGGAAAGGAAAAAGACTGGAATTCAGTTTTGCATCTCTTTCACCAGAAAATGAAAGTTCATTTTTGATGGTGCCCTATGTGAGTTTAATATCTTATCTTTAATACACTAAACTTGTACTCATCTCTTCACGTATTCTAATTTTTTTCTCTTTCTTCCTAGGATCCTGGGGAGAAAGGGAATCATGGACAGAAATATTTCAGTGCCCTAGGTAATGCCTTCTTCTGGAATCAGGACATGGTTGGGAAAGGGAGAAGTACTTCTTGCCTTAGGGATTGTAGAGGATGTAATGGAAGGGATTTTTTGTATCTCGGTTTGGAATCTCCTGAGGAGATGTGTCTTACAAGCTTTTTTCTAAGCCTATACTTTCCATGGGGATATGAGGGTTAGAGTACAATGTAGAGTTTTTGGCTTTTCTCATAAAGCTTCTGGGGCTACCAAGTCATCAATACCTTCATTCAATGAGATTTAAAAGGAAATCTCGCCTGTAGTCCTCCCTAAGGTACCCTAAGAAAAAGCATATTGCTTCCCGCATCTTCTTCCTGAGGTGACTTGCAAAGTTAGGACCCTGAAAAGCTTCTGAAAGTAAAACTTTCCTAGCTCAAGCCTGTGTTTGGTGCTGTCAGGGTTTCCAGTAGACTGATAGTTGATCCTGTGAAAATATTATTTCTTAAAAAAGGAAAATATGAAATTATGAGTTGTTTTCCATTTATGACTAAAACCAGCTTTAATTACAGAGCTGGAAGGACTATGATGCATCCTGTGGTATAGTAGAAAATTCTTCAACCTACTACAATCTCAAGTAATGACAAGGATATCTTTTTTTTTTTTTCTGATAAAGATCAGGGATCCAGTATTGTTCAAAAAATTCAAGAAGTGCTATTTGTTTTAAGTAGAATAGAAGTGTTTATAGCAAATATTGTGATGGATTATACATAAGAAGAATAGTTGAAATAGTCCATTCACATAATCCACATGAATATGGCAGCCATAGGCTCTGTGGTAGGAGCAATGGCTCATGGTAGGAGCTATCCCACATACAGTACTGGGAATGCTGTACAAAACCTAAACGTCAGAAGAAAAAGTGCTTTCTGGTGGTGGTAGTGGTGCTTGCTTCTGATACCAACTATTGAGAGTGCATGTTTATGCAAGTTCGCTAATTAGGTCACTCAACTGTGCTGTGAAACTAATGAAGCTTAAAGTGAAGGCCCCTCACTTGCATGGGCCCTTCAGAGTGCTCATATGGTTATCTGCTTTTGTGAAATTTGAAAAAGTAGGATACTTTACCTGAAATTGGTTAAGTCCACTATGTCTTTCTATTTTGACTTCCCTTTCTACATACTTACCCTGGAATTAGGTATTTGTGGGATTTAAGAGGAAGTTGAGTTGGGGAATCATTAGTTGAATATACTTCTGCAGTTTGCAGTCACTTCTGTGCATAGTGGAGCCCTGGTGGCAAAGTGGTTAAGAGCTCAAGCTGCTAACCAAAAGGTGGGCAGTTCGAATCCACCAGCCACTCCTTGGAAACCTTATGGGCAGTTCTGCTCTGTCCTATAGGGTTGCTATGAGTCAGAATCGACTCAATGGTACACAACAACAACTGTACATAGTAAGTTATTACTAGCCGTTCTAATGTGGGAATGTCTTCCAGCAATACTCCCCTGCCTACTGTGCTGATCCACCTGGTGATGTGACAGAAGGTTCAGGGCCAGAGGTCTATCATTACAAAACTGTCCTTTGGTACCTGCCAATGAAAGTATGTGGATGATGGAAGAAAAACAATGTCAAAAGTTTACCATATGGGTATTAACTCCCCTGTACTTCTGAGGTATGCAAATGTGGGTGTCAAGTAGGGTAGTATAGCATCTTGTGTCTTGATATCAATATGGAAGCCTCAGGAAGCCCAACCCCTTGTTCTCTGTTGATTCCATTCCAATGGCATGTTATGTCTTTTCCGCCATATTGAACACAAACCTTGGGTACCTTTTCAGATTCCCCTGATTACTTTCTTTACCAGGGCAATGCTTGCCTCTAGACTGTGCTTTTACTACTGCCATTGCTAGCACCTTTGTTGAACTCTACAAACTGGCCAGAGTCTGAGCTGAGCCTTGGGCCTGCATGGCCATCACAGCCCATGCACTGAGCCCTCTGTGCCAGGGTGCCCTTCTGCTTTCAGATATTTTGATTTAAAAAAAAACAAACCCCAAAACAAACAAAAAAGAAAAAGCAAAAACCAAAACTACACAATGGGCATGGAATTTGAAACCTCATGACTGCCAAGGAGCCAGATGATAGAGCCTGGAAGGGTGGAGGAGTGATTTCCCAATGGGATGAAACTTAATAAATGAGATTGGAGAGTAGGAAAGGATAAGATAAATTTCCAGCCTTTCTCCCATCTGTAAACTACTCTAACGTGTGATTTCTTCTTACAGCCTTTCCAAAAAGGCCTGCAAATACAATTGCTGAGCAACCTGCTGTGTTTCTTTGTGGCTCACTATGAAGCCGCAACGGTGCTTTAATGCATTTCATCACATCACATCTCTCGTTGTCTTACTTTCCCCAACCTCACTTCCCTGGGCTTGCATCTCATAAATAAAGAATAGTGTTTTAATCCTTACTTCAGGCTGTGCTTTCTAGAGGACCTGGGATAAGACATCCATTATAAAATTTTCCTCAACACCACATCTCTGACCATCTACTCTCCTTATATCTTGCCTCCTTGGAAACTTTTTGAAAGAGATGTTTTTACTTGTTATCTCTGTTTTCTTGTCTCCCATTCATCCCTCAGTCTCACTTAGCTCTACCATTCCTCTAAAACTGCTTTCACCAAGATCAATAATGACCTTGTTGCTGTTAAATCCAAAGGATGATTCTCAGTCTTTATCTTACTTGATCTGCCTGCAGCACTTGACACTGACCTCACCCTCCTTCAAATATTGTGTTGCCCTGACTTCTGAGACAGTGCACTCCCTTGGTTTTTATCTTGCTATTATAGCTGCTTCATCTCAGTCACCTCTGTATACCTTGTAAATATTGATGTTTCCCAGGGTTCTATCCTTAGTCCCCTCCCCTCTCCCTCCTTCCCTCTTCTCTCCTCCTCTCCCCTCTTCCTTCCTCTCCTCCCCTCCCCTCCCCTCCCCTTTCATTCCTTCCCTTCCCCTTTCCTCTCCTTCCCTCCTCTCCCCATGCCCTCCTCTCTCCTCTCCTGGACAGTGTTATTCATTCACATAGCTTTAAGTGCCATCTATATACTGATAATCTCTGTTGCAGGTTGAATGTCCCCCCGCCAAAGATATGTTGATATCCTAACCATCCCCCTCCCCTGTACCTGTGATTGTGACTTTATTTGAAAATAAGGTCATTGTAGATGTAGTCAAGTTAAGATAAGGTCATACTGGATTAGGGTAGGCCTTAAATCCAATGACTAGTCCTTATAAGAAGGCCATGAGGAGACACAGGGTCATGGAGATACGCAGGGAGAGTGCTGTGTGATGATGGAGGCAGAGATTGAAGTGATGCAGCTACAAGCCAAGGAACACCAAGGAGCGAAACATGGAGAGAGGCATGGAACAGATTCTCCCTCGGAGCTCCCAGAAGAAACCAATGTTTCTGACACTTTGATTTTAGACTTCTAGCTTCTAGAACTGTGAGAGAATAAATTTCTGTTGTTTTAAGCCACCCAGTGTATGATACTTGTTACAGCAGCTCTAGGAAACTAGTACAGCTTCAAAAACTTTATTTTAAATCTAACTTGCTTTCTTGAGTACAAGATTCTTAATAGAATCTAACTTGTCCATTGGACATCTCCCTTTGGATGTTCTGTAGGCTTCTGAAATGAGACATGTGCAAAAAGGAAACTCAGCCTCCTCTTCCCACCTGAATCTACTCCTATTCCCACCTTCCCTGTCTCAGTGACTGGCACTTCCACTTCCACTTGTGGGTGCCATCTTCACTTACCGACAACTTCATCCCCCACTAGGGTAACCAAGACTTACTGGTTTTCCCAGGACTTTTCTGGTTTTAGCACTAAAAGTCCCACATCCATGGAACCCTGTAGGCAAATCAGAATGGTTTGCCCTGAACAGTCCCAACTTCACAAGTGAAAGTCTTACGTCTTGGGAAGCCTCCCAGTCCAGGAAGTTTGGTCACCTTATCCCCTACGTTCAATCAGTCATTCATATCCATTGATTCTAACTTTTTAATATGTCTAGATTGTCTACTTCTCTCCATCTCCACTGCTACTATAACCAGTTCAGGCCATTAACATCCCTTGGCACGGATTACTGCAAAGCTTTGTATCTTTACTTCTGCCTCCAACATTGCTTCTTCCAACTCATTCTCTGAATTGCTCCCACAGTAATCTTTCTAAATTATAAACCTCATAATGTCATTCCTCTCCTTTTCTTTAGCAGTTTCCTGTTTTCCCTGAAATAAGGTGTACACTTTTTAAGGTGGCTCACATGGCCCCTCACAAAATGGTCCCTGCTTATTCCTCCAGACTTATCCATTGCCACTTTTCTTTTATACTGTATGTGTAGCCCAGATGCCAGCTGTCCTGTTTTACTTTACACCCAAGTGGGCATAGAACTCTTGCATCTCTTCACATTCTATTCCCCAAATCCACTTGTACAAAAGTCTTAGTGAGAAACATGGAATTCACAGGGGAGATGAAGGGGGCTATTCTATCACACGTGGTACAGTAATGGCCCCCAATTCACCATTCGACATTTTTTCTCCAAAGTTCCTTCTCAGCTGTGGCACTCCTGGGATTTTATTTTTGGTGTTTACATCCTTCCAAAGTGTATAGCCTTCCTGGTTCCACTTCCCCAAGTTCTTCACATTCATCTCTTTATTATACTGAGCAATTTGGCTCTTCCCCAGCTCCTATTCATAAATGCACGTACCCAACCTCATCAAAGGGCTCAATAAAACAAAGTGTCCTTCTGTTTCCAGATCCCATTCTGGTTCGATGGCTGTTACTGATAATCATTTATAGCTTAAATGTGTCCCTTAGGGTCTCACCTCTCATTCCAAGTACCTTATTAAAATATTTCTTTAAAAAATACAGTGTTATGCTCTTAGAAGAATACCGTATCAGGGGTAAGTGAGTAAAAGTTTCTTCATTTTGTTACATGTGTCTCAGTCCTACTGCCTTTCCTGGGATTCCCATAGTATTCCTTATTTTTTCCTACTATATCTTTGCATAAGC